CTATTAGCTGACAGTTCCTTCCTGTTAAAGGCTCTAGTCTGGTTCACAGATGATTCATGGTCATACGTAGACGCCATCTGAAAGAGAACAGCTGACACTCCACAGGCCTTTATCTGGGACAACCCCAAAAAGCAGTGATGAGGAAAATCTTCCCAGTGGGCATAACTTTGAATAGTGAATCTGTTCTTCTTCCTTAGGAGGAAAAATGCCTAGGTGTATAGTAATACTTGGGCACTGTGGCCAGTGGTCTTTCTGAATATTCAAGATTTCAGAAAGAACATGACTGGAAAATTGGTGACAAAGAAATCTGGGGAAGTGAATATAAGTACACCACAAATTTTTAAATGAAAGTAGCATGTCTCATGTGAATGCTTGACAAAACCATTGAGCTTAACAGAAAACATTTTAATGAGCTAATTAGTGGACAGGATTACCCAGTCTGTCAATTTCAGTCAGCCTCTTTCCCCATCAACTCCAGCCATTACTCACTCAACAAACTCATGAAGTTGTTTATGGGATTATAGGGATTTTCACTTACCAAGGGTAACATAGTTATAGCCACCACTCAGTGACCAGCAACAGAGTCCAATACTAATATAGCAGTATCCCCTAGACTGCTCAGCCATCTGCACGGTATGAAGTTGATTATATTGGGTTACTTCCATTATGGAAGAGGCAGCATTTTGTTCTTATTGGAATAGGCACTTACTCTGGCAATGGATGTGCCTTATCTTTATGCAACGCTTCTATCACAACTATGATCTATGGAATTGCAGAATGCATTTTCTATCATTGTGTTATGACACATACAACTGCTTCAGCTCAGAAACTCAATCCACAGCAGGGAAACAGAGCAATGGGCTCACATTTATGGAATTTATTGCTCTTACATGATCCCAGATCTCTGTAAGCAGATACTTTGTAGAGTGGTGAATAATCTTTTGGATATTAATTTATATCATCAACTAGAGGAAAGCAGCTGGTAGTGTTGGGTCAAGGTTCTTCCATTTTTTAAAAGTATTTCCAAACTAACTAATCCCACAATCAAGATTCAAAACCCAGGAATTAAGGAGATGAACATAGGGATTATACTATTCTAACTAGTCTAACTCCTAGTACCCGACTAGCAGAAAGGTTTTCTTTCTGTTCCATCAAATTCTGATGGTATGGAACTCTTCCAATGGAAGAAATGCTTCTTCCCAAAGACAAGAGCTCAGACTATTGTCCAGTCACTTTGGACTCTAGAAACCTCTGAGTCAAAAGCCAAAGAAGAAAGAGCCCCTTTACTAGCAAGGGTGATAGGTCCTGACTATTAAGGGGAAATTGTCTAGAACACAGGAGATTTTTAGGGTGTACCTTGCTATTATTTCAACTAGTATGGTCAATGGGAAGTACAGCACCCCAGTCTAGCCAGAACACTCATGGGTCAGATTCTTGAGTGAAGGTCCATGTCATTCCATGCAGTAAGGAGCCACATTTAGCTTCATGAAGGCAAAGAGGAGATACAATGGGAGAATACGTAGAAGGAAGTTACAAACTCCAACTATGACCATGTGACCAGTCATGAGGAAGTAGAGAAAGGGAAGTTTCTCTCGGTCTGACTGCTTGGACAGGATTATTATTCAGGATTATTAGTCTTCTTCTGCCCTTGGCCTGGAACTTACATCACCAACTCTGAATCTGAGTATATTCTTGTTTTGTTAAGCATGTGTTAAAGTGTGTGGGTAAAATATCTTTATTTTCTTTGTTTCTCATTCCCATATCATACACTGATATGCAATGACTTTATGTAAGAATTTTACTATTTTTATGCCACATTATTTAAGACAGATATTAAAGAGAATATAATAATCATCACTTGAGAATTTATCTGTAGAAGAATTTAGTGTATTTTCAGATGAAGGCCAGTTCTTCAGTCAGCTACACAAATATCTATAAGACATCTGTATGGAGCTGGGTTCCACAATAGAGACGAGATTTACAAATGCTTCTTATGTCAAATAATATAGCAGTTACACATTACCTATACATACCTTCCCTTAAACTTCAGTCATCTCTGGATAACTAATGTTCCTAGAAAAATGCTATATAAATAGTTGCTGGGCTCTATTGTTTAGGTAATGACAAGAAAAAGTCGGTAAGTGTGTTATTAAGGCAATTTTTTCTAAATATCCTCAATCACCAGTTGGTTGAGTCTGCAGATTTGGAACCTGTAGGGCTTGCTAGTTATAATGTTGTTATTGTCCCAATTTGAAGACTGGGTACTGTAAGGATGCTTCTGAGTATGAAGGTAAAAGAGGTGGACATCTAATATTGTTTTACATGTTGATTTGAGTAGATCAAAATCTGATTATGCATTATTTCTAGAAAAGATGAACATTTGAATCAGTAGGCTGGGTAAAACAGATTTCCCTCCTCACTGTCTGTGGGCCTCATCCAATATGTTCAATGCTTGAATGGAGCATTTTAAAAAACAGGAAGACTTCACTCTGTTGAAGTTGAGTATCAGTCTTCTCCTGCCATTGGACTAGCTCTTACATTACCAGGATTTATTATTAGTTCAAGTTCACTTGAACTGCCTTGAAATTTGAGCTACCACTGAATGTGAACTGCCTTTGAACTTGGACTCAAATTACAGCACCAACTGTCTATTTCTCAGGTCTTCTGACCTGGACTAGAACTTAAAGCAACAACTCTTATTTTGCAAGTCTTCAAACTTAAACAGGAACTACACCGCCAGGTTTCTTAGGTATCTAGCTCACAGTTAGTAGATTAAGATTCTTGAGCTTCCATAATTCCATGAACCAAATTCCTACAATAACTCTTTTTAACGTAATTAATGTATATGTATAACCTGTTGGTTTTTCCCTCTGGACAACCTTGACTGATGTAATGCCATTCTAAACTACTATGTGTTAAAATGATGGAATATTACTTATTGCTAAAGGAAATACACTTGCAAGTATGAAAAGATATGGAGAAATATCAAATGTATATTACTATGTGAAAGAAGCAAGCTTTTAAAACTATAAAATGTTTGATTCTGACTTCAGGACATCCTAGAAGTCAAAACTCCAGAGATTAAAAAGGTTAACCTTCAGAGTTAAGAAGAGAAAGTTAAGAAAGTGGTGTGGATGATATTATAATGGCACCTACAAATCACTGTGAAGTTTCCAAAGACCATAGGAAATAGAACACCTACAATAAAGCCTAATGTAGACAGTAATAATGTTGTGTCATCCTAGGCTCATAGATCCATCAATTTTAACAGATGTACCACAGATTGTACGAGAGATTGAGATGTCTGCAGTGTAGGAGGGCAGGGGTACACGGGAACTCCCTGTATCTTCTACTCGGTTTTGCTGTAAAGTCACAACTTAAAAAAATATATCATTCAATGGAGAAGACTATATTCTCTGAAGATATTAAGATGAAAATTGCATTTTTCAGTCATCAATCACTTGGGCATGATAGTGTGCAAGAGTGATAAACAAAATTAATAAAGCAATTTTAATTGTGTTAAATCATTTAACTTTAAGAAAATATCTAAAAAATCCCACATTTTAAATAAAAGTAGTATTCAGAAGAGTTGAATTTGGTGATGGAAATTAGAAGAATGAGATTTTTTTTCTAGTATGTAAAAATCAAAAACCATATCTTTCAATCATCTCAAACTGTTAAGAATTTTAGTATTTTAATAGATTCATTTGACCATAAACATTTTCAAGCATGGGTGTTGTGAATCCTCTAAAGTTCCCTCTGTAATATAATCTGTTGACATGTTCTTTGTCTTGGTAAGATAAGTTCACTATAGCTACTCCATTAGTCTGTCTTGTGAATTATTCCAAAGATAAAAATTAATGTCTTAACTTTCATCCATGACTATTTAATCTTTATTTTATAAATAAATTCCAATGGCAAGTATCATGGATTATAACAGATCTCTTCAACTTTTTCCATATTTTTTTTTTTGGTCAACCATGGGGCTTGAACTCTGGGCTTAAGCTCTGTTCTTGCGCTCTTCAGCTCAAGGTGAGTGCTCTACCCTTGAGCCACAGCACCACTTCTGGTTTTCTAGTGGTTTACTGGAGATAAGAGTCTCACAGACTTTCTTGCCCGGGCTGGCTTTGAACTGCGATCCTCAGATCTCAGCCTCCTGAGTAGCTAGGATTACAAGCGTGAGCCACCAGCACCTGACTCTTCCATATTTTTTTACACAGTAAATGCTGCATCCTTATACCATTATTAAAAATATCCTATAGGTAATTTTGTTTAGATACATTCTCTTTTCTAAGCTCACTTCTTAATAATCAACACTGAACATGATTATAGACTGAAAAATGCCACAGATATATTGTAAGAAAGGGCTGGGCTTGACAACATTTTTCCCTTTTAAAATTTTATATGTCTCCTACCTCTGGATGGTGTCATAGAAATCACAATGTAAATCTGCACATATCTTTATGATATAAATGGAATGACAGGTATGTATAGTGTGACAGAAGCTGAGATTCATTACTCAAAGTTGAGACAGGAGCTGTCTCAATGATGAAGCATTTATAAGAGGTGCAGTAACTATTTTCAAAATTAGAATCTGTGGCAAAGTTGATCATCTGTGACGAAAATGTGCATGAAGATTTGTGCCTCTCTGATTCTAATTTTTATTACCAATAGAAAGAAAACAAAAACATATGCTACCAGAATTATCATGATTAAACTGGAAAACAGGCAACATTTAGCATTCTGAGTACATATGTATTGAATATTATAATCATTAATCATTTTAAATTTCATAATTATGAGAGATAAGTCGGCAAGCCAAGCAAGAGAGAATACTGACTACATATCTAAAACTGAATGATTGTAAAAGTCATGTACCTTTTAAAATTCTTCCATTCAAAATTCTATATTAGGTGTGAGTGTCTAGTAAGCTACCAAAAAGCATAAAAATAGCAAAGCTATTGAAAACTAATACAAAGAAAGGAGCCAAGAAAAGACCATGAATAATTTAATCAGATAGGATTCAAGTTTGTCCCCAGTTCATTTGCCTTTTATTCTTCATTTCAATTAGTTACATGTCTGTCCGTTCTCGCCAAGGTTATGCATGCACCTTGAAATGGTCACAGAAAGATCCACAATACAGGGGTTCATAATTAGTTTATATGTTATATTCAGAATCCCAGGGGAACTAAGATATTCTGGAAATATTGATAAGCACTGTGAAAAATTCTAATACAGTTTTAACCACAACAATTTTAAAGACAAGTACAAGCTTCATTTGCCACAAAACTCACAAAAATTAATTGATTGAAGAATATCTCTGTTATGCAAAATATACATCTTAGGATATAATTTGATTAATATTCCACTATATACTGACATTATTTCTTGGTCATTTATTAAAAAAATACTCTCACTGCCAGAATTTTATATTTCTTAATATTTATAATTGAGGTAACAATGACAGAAAGGCTTAAAGTATGAAGACTATTGGTGACATTCTTTGAAACTATAACAAATTGCCAGAACCACACAAATTATATGACTAAAAATTGGATCACTTTTGATAAATAGAAAAACAACTTTACAGAAATGACAAGTTGATAAACAGTTTATAAGAGAATGATACAGTCAATGTTGCTAGAACTTACCCATAAAGTAGAAACAAGAAAAACTAAAACAGGTCTAGAATACATCTGTATCACTGCCTTGTATAATTCACAACACACCCTACAGTGGGCCCATTAGGGGTAATGTGAAGAAGCCTGGGCCTCACTTGAAACTTCATAGATCGTGAGTTTGGCTTCCTTTGATGAACGGTGACCAAAGTGGTGGACCCGTGCACACGTGTTGGTATTTACAGGTGTTTACTGATACTGGTCAGTCTACCAGCAGAATGCTCACGTGGGAGCACAAAGCCAGCTGCAGCCACAGTTCCATTGCAAGCTTTAGATGCTTCGTGGAGATAAGGGAGCCCGCTTGTAAGTACAGCAACCTGGTCACCTCAGAGCACAGTCAGCAGCAGCAATTGTTTCCAGTAAAAATCCTTGGCATGTCTACATTCCACTGTCCCTTTTTCAGCCGTCAAAAATATCCATGATAAATTCTGTACAACACTGGAGTCGGGAACAGCAGCACCAGACAGCATAGTAATTCCTCTACTAGAAACTTGTGTATAATTAGGACATTCTGTGTGTGTGGTGTTATCAAAAAGATCACAGTATCTCTAAAGAGCAGGTGTGTGTGCCTGGGTGGATAATTTGCTGTATAAGATCTCCGACATGCAGCTCATGCTCTAGGATTTGGGAATACACAGTAATACATACTTTTTTTTTTGACCAATCATAAAAATGGCAATTGTCATCCTAACCAAAATAGAAAAAAAATGAACATTAAGAATTAGTTAACAATATCAAGGATCCTAAATGCCTTAAAGCATTATTCTTCAATGTATATTATGGCATTGTACTTCCCTCACATGCCTGGTACAACAGATACACTATTGCTATTGCGTTTGGGAGGGATGTGTATGCAAATAGGCTTTCTACCACTCACACTGAATATGACTCCCCAGGGGTTTTGCTGGAGTGTGGTGAAGAATGCTAGTTGCTAGGCAGTGGAGAAGGCTGACACTACATTAGGCAATCAAGTGCAATGGTGAAATTACTGTTTAAATCCTACTTATCAAAAAGAGTCACAGTGCAGATTAACGTAGGTAGTCTACAGGGCATCACTACTTAATACACAAAGCAGAGAGGCTGCTCAAAATAGCAGAGGCTACAGTGGGTAGGAAGTGACAGGGTTTCAGTATTAAAATCATAAACACCGTATCAAGGCATTTCTAGACTTCATGGAGACAAATGATATTTGCATTTAAGACAGGGAGCTATGACAGACAGACAGGAATGACATACAGGACAAGCACCTGATTAAAGACTGCCTGATTATCCGATGATAGTCCTTTGATTCAGAACTTTAAGGCTAATCAAAAAAAAGCCTCCTGTGAACACATGTGACCTTTGATCTTTGCACACAAAAATTATCATAATAAAGAAAGAGGGGTTTAAAAAAAGCCACCAGAGCTTTGGATTACTATTTGGCACTCTGCTTCTGAAAATAATGACAAACCCTTGGGTTAAAAAAAAATGACTGTAGTACAAAGCAGTACTTCCTGGCTAAAATGTGCAAGCCTGGTTGGCAGTTACCTTTTTCTGATTTTGTACCTTCCTCAAGTCATTAAGGGATCTGGCCTCAGCTTGCATGTATCAACAATGACAATCTCTGTGCAGTTATCTGCATACAAACTATCAAAGCCATTCAGAATTGTAATACAGCATTTTTGAGCAAAGGAAATCAATAAAGAGATTAAGGTGCTTAAATACTTCTATCCAAGAATAAAGAGGAAAAAATGTTGAGGAGAAACTCACCCTCCCTATCCCACAATTCAATGTGCAGAACAGTTGACCGGTGCTTCCAGATCGGCAGGATGGTTCCATGCACGTATACACATGTCCTGAGCCATTCACAGTCCCCCAACTCTGCAACATTGCTTTCAGGTGATAGAAACGAGATGGTCTATGCAAATGTGCTGATCGAAGTCATGTTATGTGCAATCAAGAGGAGATCCGGGACATCTTCAGAATGGTTTAGAGTCACAAGAAATGAAGTGGTTGACATTTGGAAGCACATCGATGTACATATATATTTCCCTGAAGATGTGGTTATGTATTAGTGTACTAGCCAATATCTGATGCTATCTGTCATTTTATTTCCAAAGGAAAATTAGGGCAATTCGTATGGAGAAGTATAGGAGTACTACTTTAGACAACCTTGAAAGCCAGAATAAGATTTCTTAACTACTCAAGTGGCATTTCTGACTTCAATAGTAGTATCATGCAGGACTTATACTGTATTAATAGAGCCTGGAGTAGCTACGTTTAACTATTTCCATTACAGGGTAAACAGTACTTGAATTGACATAATTTAGCCGACTGGATGCAGTTTGGTTTACAAGATAGATGGGATGGGAGATCGAGAGCGCCTCAGAGGACAAGGAGAGTTGTAGGGTGATGTGACTGGAGAAAGCCTCAGCGCATTGCCTGCCAAGCCCGCTATGTTGTTTAAGCTTCGAGATTTCTCATAGCCTTTTATGAAAGAATGCACACACATCAGTTGAGTTCAACCAGAAAATAGACAGCCACAAACAATTCCATGCAGGGTAATCAAAAGTGCTATTTTTGAGCTCAAAGAAGCTTCTGTTTACATAGAATTCAATATGGAAATAATTCACAATAGTAAAAAGAAATGAAACTCACTGTAAGCTGACATGGTCCAAAAATTAAGCCAGCTGTCACAAATTTCAGCACAATTCATACTACAAAATATATTCTTTCCTAGATTATAGTTAGTATAAATGTCATCTTGCCTATAAAATAACAGAACTTTTAAGAATTAGGCAAAGCAACTTAAGTAAGATATGGCCTTAATATCACATTTCATGATGTGCTTCTGAAAATGAAAATGGATGCATTAACTATTTTTTTCCATTTTCATTTTAATAATCTAATAAAGTATGCTTACGCTTACGTGAGTAATCTTTTCCAAGCATATTTATTCTTCTGGCTTGATAAAGTTAAAAGAATGACTATTAAAATAATAGGAATTGATGTCATTATCTAGGTGACATAGAATGGGATGCCCATTTCTAATTCTCTGGATAAAAAGCAAAAGTAAGTGAACAGGGAATTGAATATGACCTAAGCAGAGCCATAATTTCCATGAAATAAACTTGAATTTGCCTGATGTTGTCTCCTTCCCTCACCTCCCCAAGAATTGAGAAAAACTTTACGACTAAGTTATTTTTAATAACTTTCATCCTAATCTATTGTTCATGTCTATGATAGCTATGGAATTAGAAAATACAACCTCAATATTCAAACCAGATCACTTTTGTAGGGAGTTATATACTGTAGTGTTTCTATTGCAAACTATTAGAGACCATTGAGTGATGTAGGGCACTTAGTATAGTTTGAAGTGAAATGTCTAAACAGCAGGACAACTGTTTACTGTTAAGTGGAGCCAGTTTTGGAAATGAGTATGTGGACAGCTGCACTGAAGAACTGTTAAAGAGCAGGAAAACGAACTTCCTTTTGGACAAAGTTGAACACGTGCATACACATCCAGTGAACTTCTTGTCTCCCTTAGACTGTGTAGCACACTGTGGTGCTAATTAGCCCAGAGTGCACTTGCTGATTGTGGAGGAAAAAGAAAGAAAAATGAGTCCTTTGTTAGTACTCATGTTCTTCCAAGCTACATTTTTCTTTCATTCTATCTTTTCATAGAAATTACAGGGAAGAAGCGTTTGCTAATGCTTTTTCTAGGAGTGAAGTGATATCTCTGGTTATTGATAATATGAGAGGCCAAGACAGGAATGGATGTACATCATAATAGCAACTTTGTAATGAGATGAAACTGAAGTTTTAGAAAAGGAGAAAAACCCGCACATATTCTGTGCATTATAAACACATTAACTTTCAATAGATGACATCTTTTGACATTTTTGTGGATGAACATTTATGCTAATAATTTACTATGATAAGGTTTTCTAGGATATAATTTCGACCAATTTAAAAACTTTTTATACTTTATTTAGTATTCTTTACTGTCAAATATGGGAAATGGCATATCTTGCAATCCATGTTGGTAGATAATATGTGAGTTAAAAGGAGGTCAAATCATTTTAAATTTCATGTACTTTATTTTTACAAAATAGCCTTCATATGTTTGGACAGTTCATTATTATTACTCTTCTCTAAGTGGCTGAAAATATAATTTGGGGAATTGTATAAAATATTTTATCCAATGCAGTAGAAATCGAATATGTAACTTAGAGTAGTGAACTAGAAAACACTTCATTAATTTTGATTAAAGAGAAACTGGTGACTATGAATGAACCAGAAGGGTTCATAATACTTACAAACCATCATCATAAAGTCATCACTTTATCCACCACCATCTTCAAGATATCTAAGGGAACCTCAGAAATTTAAAATCTCTTTGACAATTTTATATTAGTCATACCAGTAACATATAGGTATATTTTGGTTGGTATATTTTGATTGTAACTTACTTGTTCAAAATTATGCTTCACATAAATATTACTCATTCTTAGTTTCTCTTCTTTTTAATGTCTGTACTTTCAATATTCATTTAGAAGGATTGTGTAATTTGGTAACAAGTACATAATTAGTGATATTATAGGTTATTCTGTTATTCATATAGCTTTTTATTCTTATTTTTATGTTTGATTTTGACTAGGAAATCTGATGAAATTTTTGTTTATTTGATTTTTTACTGGAGTAAAACCTGAAGATATAATTTATATTTAGGCTTATTTTAAACTAGCTTCAAAATAATATATTGGATTGGACATATTTTTTCAAATCCTGAGACCAAAGTTTCTTTGAGGCAATGTTAGAACTGCTTATCCATAAATGTATTATTCAAAAGAATGTATATATAATACATATTCTTAAAAACTACTGTACAAATAGAAAAGTAGATTCTAAGTATTGGGATTTTACTTAAGTGAATCTTCATGTTTTCTTAATAAATGACCAACTATATTCACATTTGTATAAAAGAAAATTGCAATAACAATCCAGTAAATTCATTTACATAGGGTAAGGTTTTTAGGACTTTAAAACAAAATCTGTAGAGGCACCAATTTGAAGGCAAATTTATTTTCTCATGGAAAATAAATGTTTAAGTAGAATACAAAAATATAACCTACATAATAGGACAGAAGAGAGGAAGTTAATTCCTGGAAGATATGAGAACATGACAAACTAGAAGGCTTAGGTAACTTATTCACAAATGTTATCTGACCTAGGAAAACAAACGTACACAACTATAAGAGAAATAAATAAGAATGAAAAAGTTGATATGGCATAAAACGTTATGGATAAGTTTTCAAAGATGATTTTAGTGATAAGGAGAATTTTTGTTTGTGAAATAAAATTGAATGCATAAGTTCTCCATGCAAACGAAATATCTTATTAATTGCTTTGCTCATGAATATGCATAGTTTATGTAATACATATTTATATATTATCTAAAATTTAAATATATAATTTATATAATACCTATTTTTTTCAAAATTCTTTCTCATCTGTAAACTCGTTTAACAATTTAAAATTCAAAATATTTTCTGATATGGAAGAATAAAATTCTAGCAAGGTTTCCTTAAACAAGTAACCTTGGTAAATTAGTGAATATAATGCTTTATTGGATGATGAACAAAATTTATCTAAGTTGAATTACCCACAAATATATAGATGAACATGCCTACAAATTTTACAGAAGTATACATGTAAATATAGAGTAAGTTAGGTAATGAACCTTGAAGTATATGTTCAATGCAACATATTATCACACTAGTATTATCGTTTTTAATCTATGTACATATTTTCACAAAACTAGAATAAGATATTAACTATGTTCATAAAACATTTTTAATGTTTCCAGCACATGTGTAATGTAAAATAGTAAACCCATTCAATGATTGGAACACATTTTAGTGCAAAGAATAGATGTAGATGATAGAAATAATTGCAAAAGAATAGTATTTAAAGTAGTACTCAGAAAAAGAAAGGCCTTTAGTCCTCTCTTCTGCGCCTCAAAGACAGAAATAGAAGTTAACAGAAAATGATCAGAAGAAATTAAAGACAAAGGCAACATGAGTAATGAGATAAAATGTGAAAGAAAGACAACATAACATTGCAAGCTTAAAATGGTAAGGAATTCAACTGGGTAAAACTATAGTGGAATAACAAATAAGCACTTATTCTTAAAATGCAGTTGCACTAATATGAAAATTGGGTGATGATTTTTCACTCAAATTTAGCCAATTAGGACAAATTATTATATATATATATCATATAAATATTTTGCTATATCACTTTAAAAAGACACTTGACAAAACATTTTATTTGTTTGATATTTATGTGCCATCTTATGTTTCAGGCATACTCAGGGTCTGGTAAAAAATACAAATGAATTTCAATTTTTTTATTTTTTGTAAGGAAAAATACTATATGTATATTTGTAAGCACTTACATACCCTTTAAAGGGATTAAAAGGTATTCCTGCCTGAAGATCCTGTACCTTTGATACCGTAACACACTCAGCTAAGTTCCTGACAAATCTGCCTAAATATTAGAAAAGAGAACTCAAGTATGTGTAGTATTTATTCTGAAAATAAAAATAGCCAATAATTTGTTTTACAGTCATCAATTACTTATCAAATTTATTCATAGCTCTGATTGATGAGTTTTACTTTGTTGTAGTAAAATAATTACTAAGTACATTATAAAATAATTGGGTTCATAATTTAGTATTTACATATTTCATTTTAGTTCTGCCCATATGCAAATTTAAAAAAGAAAAAGAGAAATGTCTTTCGGGTATGACAATCTATTATGACAGGCATTTTTCAGTGCTTAAAATGAAAGATGGGTTGGAGGGGAGAAGAAAATGAAGAATGGGCCTTTACATCACTCCACATATTTCTGGAACTCACTCAATTGCTAAGTCACCTGTTAGGATCTGATTAAAGGCATGCCTACCTTTCCTGATACCTCCATCAGAAGCGCACGTGTAATCACCTGCCGTCAGAAGGAAACATGTTTCCCCTCTTCTGTTTTTGTCTCTGGTACTAGAGCGTCTGATGGGGAGCCTTTCTGGGGGTGATAATGGCGGCTCACTTCCTGTACTGTCGTCACCTGATAACACTGGTCACAGCACCACGCCATGGACAGACAGTGATGGATGAGGAAATGAGACAGGACAAAAAGTTTACACCAAATGCCCATAGTCCAGGCACGCAATATACAAAACACAATCATCACACCACAGTAAGAAAAGGAGTTTTCATTACTCATCACACACATACACACACACACACACACACACACACACACACAAATAAAATAACTTATGTGGAGCAAAATGGAAATGTACTGCAAAGGGGAAAGGTGCTCTTTGTGAAACTTTTATTGCTCTGAGGATTTTGCCTAATATATTATTGACTTTCATCCAAGTAGTGAAAACTCAAAAAAAAAATCCTGGGAGCATATATTAGCACACAATTTACCTTACAATATGTTACATGCTATTGTGAAAATATGATTGGGAATCATTAAAAGTAGAGGCCGTGTAAAGAAAAACTCTCAAGCAAAGGAAAAAAAATCTCTCAAGCGAATTCTTATTTTTTGTAATTGCCTAAGAGGCTTGCTTTTATTAGTTCTCTAAAAGTAATTTTTAGAAAACCGTAATAAAAATAACCCTAAAGCTGAAAAACTGCATGTTCAGATATTGCATTTTGAAGTAGCACAGTGTTTTTGAGCATACAGTGGAACAGATCAACTTCTCCAAATGCCCTTGAAATGACCATTTACTTCTGCATGCTAGCCAATAAGCATATCCAGAAATGAGCATATCATCCTTTTCCATTCCCTTCTTAAAGGCTCTGTATAAATACTCTGAAAGCAGTCAAATAAGAGCAGCAGCACAAGCTAATTCCTCCCTTCATAGAGATAATCTTAACTCTCAGACATTTGTTGTGAAAGATATATCTGAAATCCTCTAATAAAACTTCCTAAATGAACATAAAGATTGCTCAATGGATTTCACTCCAGCCATATCTTTCCCCTCCCCCTCCATCTGCTTCTTAAAATCTACCAGTCCAGGTATGTTATCCACACCTGTAATCTCAGCTACATGGGAGATATAAGCAGTAGAAATATGGTCCAAGACCAGCCAGGACAAAAAGAACTTCTGGAAGCTAAGGAATTATGAAAAGTACAGTTGCCTTTTTGTTTCTTCACTTCATTACTTTGTGTTACTTCTAAGCGATACATGTGACCACAAGTCATTTATCCACAAGAAAAACTAAATTAAATATGTGTAAATTATGTGGAATGCATATGCCTCAATTTTTCCTAGTAAGAAAAGTTATTTAAACTGTAGAATGTTTCCTTCCCCTGAATCAGATATAACAGGGATGACACTATTCACCATTACATTGGCATACTGAATATCAAGCTAGGATCAACTTTAAAGTACTTTGGCAGTGAAGAGGAATAGCTAATTTCAAGTAATAAATTACCTAAAGTTATGCAGTGCATGCTTCATTGAAAAATAGAAATCCACAGAGAAATTCAAGTTTGTCATTAGTTATCAGAAGCACATCATATATCCCTGAGAAATGGTGAGTTTTGATTCTATGACACAGAATTTTATCTCACCAAACGGTTATATTAATATAACCTAATTTATAAACAATAAAAATAGAGCTAATCTTGCAGAATATTACTAAGAAAGAATCTTGCCATAAAAACTTATCTTCCATATCACCTCTTTGGTGTTTAGGCCTTTGATGTGCAAGCACCCATTCTCCTTAAATAACGGTTTCTTGTGGATCCGGTTGAGATGCACCGCACCATGTGGCAGGGGTAAAACTGAGACAAACACACCAAGCCAAATGATATGGAGATCAACATTTGGAGAAGGAAGAACGAAAAAAAATGGCCATACCATCACATTGTGCAAAGAAACAAAGAAACATTGGCACAGAAGCAACAAACAGGCAAAAAAAAAAAAAAATATTGGCACCATCAGCAAAGGTCATTCCACTAATGTCAGGAAACTGTATAGGTTGGTCTTCATTGGCCTACAGTCTCTATCTTGTAAATATCTACAATCACACCCACACGCGTGCAGGCACGAGCAAACACACACACACAATTTAAATTTAAAATTAAGACTGAAATTCCATATACATATGAGGAGAGCTGCCTTCTGTCTAAGGGAGAAGGTATAGAAAGTAATGACCCATGCCTATGAAGTCGTGACGTCTATTTAGAATTGTGCCTTACCTGATCTATTATGTTCCAGAAGTCGATTGTCTTTGCCCAGACAAGTGTCACTCTGTGTGCTATTGCAGGCCGTATTCAATTCTGTCTTGCAAAATGTCGGTGAGCTTGCCTGAGGGGCAGGAGGAATGTGCTTCTTTCTCTTTCTTGGAAGTTTCTGCTTCGCCATGGCCAAGGAGTAGTACATTCCAAAATTGTTGACAATGACGGGCACTGGCATGGCTATGGTCAGCACTCCAGCCAGAGCACACAAGGCTCCCACCAGCATCCCTGACCATGTTTGGGGGTACATATCCCCATAGCCCAGGGTAGTCATGGTCACCACAGCCCACCAGAACCCAATGGGAATGTTCTTGAATTGTGTGTGTTCACTGGCCGAGGGGTCATTTGGTTGAGCTCCTACTCTCTCGGCATAGTAGATCATGGTAGCAAATATCAAAACTCCTAGAGCCAGAAAGATGATCAGCAGCAAAAATTCATTAGTACTAGCTCGAAGAGTGTGTCCGAGCACCCTCAAACCGACGAAATGGCGGGTGAGCTTGAAGATTCTCAGGATCCTCACAAACCTTACCACCCTGAGGAAGCCAAGTACATCCTTAGCAGCTTTAGATGAGAGCCCACTCAGCCCCACCTCCAAGTAGAACGGGAGGATGGCCACAAAGTCAATGATATTCAAAAGGTTTTTGACGAACTCAAGTTTATTGGGTGAAAAAACAATACGGACTAAAAATTCAAAAGTAAACCACACTACACACACTCCTTCCACATAGGTCAAGGCAGGATCCGTCTCGATTTCATACTGTGGAACAACGCTTGTACCGTTGGTGACGGGTTCCGTCTTGTTTTTAACAATATTGAAAGCTTCGTGTGTTTCCAGGCAAAAGGTTGTGATGGAAACCAAGATGAAGAATAAAGAAGCAAAAGCAATGAACTGCAGAAGAAAAAGAAATAGAGTGATCTGAACCATCATGTACTTGGATCCAAATCTAAGAGCATTGATTCCTTCTGAAAAGAGAGAATAACAGCATATTTGAAGATATCATTTGGGGTGTTTCTCAAGTCAAGGAAGAGTTTGTATGTAATATATTCACCAGAAGAGTATTCATAACATGTTTCAAGTTCTGGGTGTTTTTTTTGTTTGCTTACATAGAGACCAAGTTTTGCTTTATGTTTGAAAATTGTTTAGAACTATGATATAAGAAAATATAACCTGCGAAGAAAGCATAACATTAGTCCAAAAGTGTCTTTAAAAAGAAACCATCTGGAAAAAATAAAATCAGACAATATCTCCAGACATTGCTTGTGAGCCTAGAAATCTCCAAAAATGAGACTGAGTTTTATATCTATAAATATAAGCTGCAATAGACATGCTGAATATCATGAGTTATAAACATGGAGAAAGTGTTAAAAATGTATACTGCAAGTTAACTGGTATCAATCCAAGGTAGAAACTTGCCCAATAGAATAAACTGAAGGAGAAAAAGTAATGCAACAAGATGGAAAAAATAGATTAAGATACAAATTAAAACCAGCTTTCTTCCTCTATTAAAGAACCACTTTATTTTTCATTCAAAGATTTCAAAGTGTTAGTCACATTGAAAAGTAGCAAATTAAAATGCTATAATTTTTATTTAATTCCATTTCTTCAATTTGTGTGTATTAATGCACACAAATCTACTGATGCAGACTAATAAGTGTTCTAAAAGCATTATATAGTTCTGACTATAGCTAAACAATACAGATACAAGTTTACATAACCCACTAATTCCTACCAATCATATACCTGTGCTCCTATTTCCAGTCAGAAACATCAGATTGGGAAAGCTAACATCACTTTTCTTAGTCCATATGAAAGGAAATGATAGAACTGACAAGATTATGTCCAAATTCCATTTCCTAATCTTCTCACATTCTCAGATGTAGAATACAGATAATTTGTTACCATTTGCTGGGGTCTGGGGTCACAGACTCATTAATATTCGTCATCTGAATATTTGAAACCTAGGTGCTTCAAGCATGGTTGTCTCGAGTGTTAGAGGATTTTTAAAGGGGTGGCAGATGTCTAGAGCTCTTTCATAAATGTGCCTATTTTGGAATCTAAATGAACAGATCATTCTATGAGTATCTAAACAAATGGATCACTTAGGAGAGGGAAAGTGTCAGTCCAGTGGAGAAAGACCTATATTTGGAAACAAATAAAAGTTGTACCCTAACATCTGTCACTCAAGCTCTGCTTCAAGGGAAGATGGAAACCACCTCTTTTATTTCGCAATTTACCACACAATATATAGGGCTATACAGGATGACTAACTTGTCAGAACTGTGACTTTATGAACTAACAAAGAACCTCAAATCAAGGAACAATTTTCTTCATATTGTGGTAGTTAGTACATCAATTATATACTATTATATGACTGGAAAGTATGAGACTTTTGAATTGCCTTTCCATATATATCTTCCAACAACATTATTTTTGGTCTTATTGTCAGATCATTAGCACTCTTAAGCATATGGTGAAATTTTTTCATTCATTTTTTTCCTTTGTATATGTAAATATTCAATTTTTAATCAGCTAGTTGTTATGCTGATGTGAGGCATATTTAAAAATGACATCTTTTAGGGGAAGCAGCAATTATCCTTGATGGATAAATTGCTTCTTAAACTAAGCTTAATTTGAAACCCATATTTGTTTCTAATTCCACTTAAAATCTCTCTTCATAGAACCTTGTTAATATGTACCTACTCATTCTTCCCCACCCACAGTCTCTTATATCTCTAGCATTTCAGGCTACATGAAAAGTTTTAGTGTACAAAATCCATCAGTGGGGCAATGCAAGTATTAAACAACTGGGCTGCAATTTTCTTTTAACAATTCTGATATTCTTCAGTATTTTTTTTCAGTTGACTTTGCAATCTCAAACTCTGCCTACATCCATGTGGCATATTAGCTGTTTCTTCACTTCCCAATATTTTGAGCTGTCAAAAGTTCTAGTGTGTCTGCCCACATCCACTCAGGAGAAAGATATGGCAGTACATATTGGCGTTATTGACATAAAACACTAAAAATCTTTCTTAGTTATTTTCCAAGTGTTCACTCACTCATGCATTCATTCAGCAAATGTATATTTGATGCCTCTCTATTTCATATAACAGGCTGTTTAACAGCATAATCCCAGCCATTGAAAAACTCACAATATCCTATGGATACAGACATGAAATACATTAATCACATAAAAAATGTAACTAAATTTAACTAAAATGGAAATAAATGCAATGAAGAGAAATAGAAGATACTTTCAAATGATCAGAAATACCCTAAACTTAGTCCATCACATGTACCAGAGTGTAATATTACTGACAGAAGATAAGTGTTTTAAACAAAATTTATTGTTTTCAAGATCAATATTCATCTCAAAGATGAATATTTTGTTTAGATAAAAACAGCAAAATAGACTTTTTAATTTGTAAAAGGTACAGATAATTGGCATGATCTAAAATAGAAGTTTGTAAAAGAGGAAAAATATGCTTTGTAATTACATGACTGGTATTTGGAGATTAGCCACTGTCAATTAGAAGGTAGAGAATTCAGAAATAAAGAAAAGAAAAAAGAAAATGGGGTAAAAGGAAATCTCGGAGGAGAATGAGCGAGAATCCATAACGTTCCGTCCACAAGTGATAAATCCCTCCACAGGTACAGAACTCTGGAAAAGCAAAATGTAAAATATTACTTTGGGGTGGAGGCTGGTCCTTGGGCTTGAACGCAGGACCTGGGGGCTGTCCCTGATCCTCTTTGTGCTCAAGGCTAGCACTCAAACATGTAAGGTACAGTACCACTTCCAGCTTTTTCTGAGGAGTTTATTTGATACACGAGTCTCCAGACTTTCCTGCTTGGGCTGGCTTTGAATCACAATCATCAGATTTCAGCCTCCTGAGTAGTTAGGATGCAGGTGTGAGCCACCTGCATCCGGCTAAAGAGTTACATTTAAAGATGATCCTTTGTCTGTATGCCCTTAGCAAAAGACTGTTGCACAAAAGCAACTAATATTGTCATGTTCAATAATGGAGGGTTTGAGCCAAGGAAAAGCAAAGGGAGAGGGAGAAATTTCTGACAGGAGGTAGGCTATTTGAACAGATTTAGGAACAGTAATAAGCAAGGGTGAAAAGTTATCAGAAAAAAAATAACTGCCATGAAAAATCCATGGAGATTTTGGTGAGTTTAGACTTTCACATGGAATGAAAAGAAACTTAGTTTATAAGTCATTAGTCTGACTATTAACTAAGAGGATGACCTAAAGCACTTTGAAGACCTGGAACTAGCCAGAAGCGAACATTTAAATTGAATTATCAGGACTTGGCATGTTTTAACTGAAACTAATTCTAAGCTATTTGGACAAAGCAAAGTTCTGTGTTTCTGGTTCACTGAATAGAGTTAAAAAAGAAATAAATAAGAAGTTATATTGAATAATTTTAAGAAAAATAAATTAAATATGAATGAGACAGAAGATTTCATTTACTTGATTTTCTCTTCACTATTCGGAAAAATCTTTAAGGACTGAAATTCTGTAACATTCATCTTATTTAAATCTCATGTTCCTGGCATGATAGGACAGAATAGAAAGATGGAATCATTAATGGAAAATAAGTAAAGAAGTAAAAGTACACTGTATGTCCATGGGAGTGAAAAATAACATAAATTCGAAGAAATTTAAATAATAAAGTATGAATGTTGAAGAAAAAGATCCATATGTATCACAAATAGCCCGCTGAATTGGTTCATGTATGTTGAAAATTGTAGCTTTCTATTCATTCTGCTAGCAGAATAATATCTTTGGGAAGAATCATATTATCATTTATCTCTTTATTTCCCACTAAGATAACATGACAGACTCTTTTCATTATTAAATAAAAATACAATTAAGCATGCTACGTAATAAAATTGAAGGTTCTCCATACAAGTGTCTTTATCATATTAATTGAATTCATAAAAGAATAGGTCATTCCAAGTAGTTTCAGAATAGATATGTTCCCATCGGGAGATGGGAAGGGATGGGAAGGGGAAACAAAGGAGGAGGTAACAATGCTTGATAAGAAATGTGCTCATTACCTTGCTCATGCTATTGTAATCCCTCTGTAAGGTATTTTCACAATTAAAAGAAAGAAAGAAAGAAAGTAAAAAGAAAAAAATTGGCTTATGGGTCAAGAACTTTTTCTTCATTGATACATTGTTTGTGCTTAGTGAGAGAAAGTGCCCTATATCCCTCCTGGCTGTCATCAGCTACACAGGGAGAAAGTCCTCAGAGTTCAGGGGTTACATGGAGGATATTATGTCAACCTACCTCAGTACAAATACTCAAGTCTCTTTCCAGGTGTATACTAGGCAGAAATTGGAGAAAATGAAATATATTTTTATTTCCTCCTTTTTGTCTTTTTCCTGATAGCATTAAGATGAACGGAAATGAGTTCTGTATCCTACAAGCCAGGGAATTTCAAAAATGTAGGCCAAACTGGTAAGTATTTCCTTTCTGTGCTCAATTGCTTAGGCTCACTGATACTTGATAATTTTCTCAGGCTTTTCATTTTTCTTTTGTCTTAAAGTATCTTTAACTTAGGAGCTTCTCTTAATTGCATACACATTCAAATCGTATTCATTAGTGTGACCATAATTAGTAACAGCATAATCTTGTTCACAGAACTGTGGTCTCTACAGGGACAAAGCAATTCTCTTCATTGGTACATCTTTCCTCAAAAGCCAGCAAGTGGGAACAAGGAGCCCAGTGTCTCCACTTCCATGTTGAGCTGATACTTCCATGAGCTTCTTCTGAGCACTGGTGAAATCAAGTTTTCTTCAACTTTTAAGATCCACAAGTAGATCCACTGATTTTTATGCATTAATGGTATTGAATTACACTGAAGAATGCAGATCTTTTTCAG